GAGCAACAGCACACTGGGCAAACTGTGCGCGCACAGGAAAACAAAGGAATCAGTCTACTGCTGAAGTCTCTTTCTTTCTGTGTGTGTGTGTGTGTGTTTGCCAGAGTTCCTCTGCATGGCTGCCCTTCTCCTCCTCGCTCACTTGGTCAGTCAGTCAGACTCCTCAATCTCCTCAATCGAAGCCTTCTTCTCATCTCTGGGCGCCATCGAAGTGAGTGAGAGAGAGAGAGAGAGAGCGGACGGGCTAGTGCAAATCGGTACATCGAGATGAGGGGGATGAAGTGGACGATCCATCTGAGCGGGATTGGATGCGAACTGAGGAAGGAAGGGAAGGGAAAGAGAGGAGATAAAGATCGATGCGAATGTGGAAATGAAGGGGAAACCGCCGTTGCAGTCAGTGTGTCTGTGTGGCAATGGCAAAGGCCGGCGAAGCGAATAACAATGGCCACCACCACCGCCACCGCTGCCACCACCACCATCAGCACTCTCTCAGACAGTCTCTTGACCGACAATCACCGAGAACAGAAGAGCAGAGCACAGGCTGTCTTTAGCTGTGCACCACTCTTTGCACTCCAGTGCGCCCTCCACGCCCACCACCAGCATTAAAAGCTGTAGGGCAAGTCAGAAAAGAGGGGTCTCTTTCTCTGCTCTGCACTGACCATCGACCTCTTCTTCTTCTTCTTCTGATTGACTGCTCGATCGGCTTAGAGGCAAAAAAGAAGAAAAAGAAGAAGAACTGCTAAAGCAGTCATCATCAGCCTGGGCAGAAGTAGGGTGACTCAATCAAAATGTGTGTTCTCGGTGTGTGCTAACTCGGCGGCTGTTTAGTGTGCTCGCGAGCGATAGGCAAGTTCGCGCTCAGCCTACCAAGGAAAGGATAGGAAAGGAAAGGAAGGCAGATAGAGCACACATAAAAACTAATAGATAGATAGGCAGATTGATAGATAGAGAAGGAGAGAGAGAGAGAGAGAGAGAGAGAATCGATCAAACAGACAGTGAGAGAGGAGAGAGACGCAGCGATGAGGTCAAAGGATTCGCGGCGGCAGATTGGAGCACAAGTGCAAGAGCAGCGCCAGCAGCAGCAGCAGCAGCAGCAGCCGTCGCCGAAGCGGCAAAATGCTTGTGGTGCAAACTGTGAACACTGAAGACGAAGAAGAAGAAGACTGAAGATGATGATGAAAAAGAAGCAGAGAAGGCAAAAAAGAAAGAAAAAGGCTGAAGCTGCAGAAGCGAGGACAGGTTTAGTAGTGCGGCGATGAAGAAGGGAAAGGAGAAGAAGTGAGAGAGAAGGAGAGGAGACACGAACCGCTGCCATCAGACAAGAAGACAACTCAAGATGAGTCACACACAGTGCTGGCACTGCCACTGCTACTGCTGCTGCTAATTCGATTACTTAACAGCACTGCTGACAATTTGTACTCGAACATGAAAACGAAGGGGAAGGGGAAGAAGATAGGTAACCTGACGACTGAAGAACGGCGACATCAGAATCGGCTCAATTGCATAGGCTGCTGCTGCTGCTGCTGCTGCTGACATCATCCACCCAGCAAGCAAGCAAAGGGTCGAGAGAGTATTAAATGCAAGTGCAGCAGACAACGGTAAATGATGATGGTCGGCAACAGTGTAACTGACTGACTGACTGACTGCAAAGAGATATGCTAATGTAGAGCACAGCTCTGCGCTGAGACCCTTCAGGCTCTGCCAGTTTCCATCAGCTCCCATTGAGCGTGGCTGCTAATTACAGCACCACCACCACACTCTGCTAGTACAATTCCACTTCAGCGGCAGCAGAGTTGTCCAGCACTTCACTTCACTTCACTTCGCATTTCCAGGCACACTGTTGTCCTGCTGTAATGGGATTCAACCCAAAGTAGCAACAGCAATAATACACACGTTTATTATGCACACCGAGTCACTCTGAGTGACACTGTGAGTGGAGTGTGGAGTGAGTGTCCAGAGAAACATGGTGGCTGGTGGTTACCACAGCAGTGTTGGCGCTGTCACTGTGAATCAGAAAGAGAGAGAGAAGGAGGTCAGCAGGCAATTTGCATCGACCAGGCCTGGCATGAGCATCGCGCTCGCGTTGCCCGCCGCCGCCTGGCTTCACTCTACTGCTCATTCGACAAATGCTGTGCTTTTCAGAACAGCAATTCCTACCCTCTCTGCTGACTGAATTCAAGGGGCGCTCTCCTCCTTCAGTCAACCTCTTCTTCTTCCCTCGAGAGAAGTAAAAGAGTTGAGGTGCAGACTGTGGGGAAGGAGACACACACACACACACACACACACACACACTGCTGAAAACCGAGCAGACATTCTCACAGATAATGGATCACACAAAGTAGAAGGAGAAGATAAATGAACAAGAAGTACGGGCAAAGCAAGTCGGAACTCGGCCGTTGCGACAGACTGACGACGACGACAACGGAACACACCAAAATCCATTCGCCGCAAAAACAATAGGGCAAGACAGCCATCATCGAGTGCGCTGGCTGGTGGTTATCATTGCCAAGCAGAGCAGTAATACAACTCGAACGGCGACAGCCTGAGAGAACAACATAACATTGCAGTACTGTCTCCTCGTGTGCCTAAGTGTGTGTGTGTGCCTACCAGCAGCAAAAAGCAGTGCACTTTTTGCAGCGTAAATGAGATTCATTTCCTCATCCTCCTCCTCCTTCTGATCTGCTGAAAACAGGGGGAGAGAGGAACTCTGAGGTAGATCAAAGGGACGTACATCAGTGCCAGGCAATCTCAGAAAGAGAGAGAGAGATGGATATCTCGCTAGATACTTGCCTGACAAAGACAGAAGGCAACTGCAAAGGAAAAGGGAAACATACCTGAGCAGAGTTGCCAGTCGGATGATGAGGATGAGGATGATGAAGGTGAGTCGGGCGCTGGTGGAGAGAGTGGTGAGCGAGTGAGTAAGTAAAACGATGCGGCGTCGGCGTCGATGAGANAAGAGAGAGAGAGATGGATATCTCGCTAGATACTTGCCTGACAAAGACAGAAGGCAACTGCAAAGGAAAAGGGAAACATACCTGAGCAGAGTTGCCAGTCGGATGATGATGCTGGTGATGATGCTGATGATGAAGGTGAGTCGGGCGCTGGTGGAGAGAGTGGTGAGCGAGTGAGTAAGTAAAACGATGCGGCGTCGGCGTCGATGAGAGAGTAAGTGAGTTGAGAGCCCAGTGAGCAGAGAAAACCCAAACACAGAGAGACACAATGCCTGGAGTGGGAGCGATCAGCAATAAAATAAGAGCGGAGGTTGACGATGATGGTGATAATAACAATAAAAAGCTGAGAAGCCAAAGACTATCTATCTATCACTGGGCAATTTTCAATGTATCAATTGACATTCAATATCGGGACATCCAATTGACGTGATTAGGAAGAGATTGGGTGGTGGTGGTGGTGGTGGTGGTGGTGGTGGTGAACTTGCAGCACTGGCGTCAAGTTTCGACGATGACGACGATGANTGAGTAAGTGAGTTGAGAGCCCAGTGAGCAGAGAAAACCCAAACACAGAGAGACACAATGCCTGGAGTGGGAGAAGCGATCAGCAATAAAATAAGAGCGGAGGTTGACGATGATGGTGATAATAACAATAAAAAGCTGAGAAGCCAAAGACTATCTATCTATCACTGGGCAATTTTCAATGTATCAATTGACATTCAATATCGGGACATCCAATTGACGTGATTAGGAAGAGATTGGGTGGTGGTGGTGGTGGTGGTGGTGGTGGTGGTGAACTTGCAGCACTGGCGTCAAGTTTCGACGATGACGACGATGATGATGGTGCTGACGACGTCTGGCTGGTTAGTGTGTGTGTGTGTGTCTGTTGTTTGGTTGGTGGCTCGTTTGGTTGGTTTTTTGGTGTGACGGCAGGCAGACAGTGTGTGTGTGGCAACTTTGTCGCCGACGGGGTGATGAGGATGAGGATGAGGCTGATGGTGATGGTGATGGACTTGGATCACACTGGCTCAACAGACTGCTGGCACCGAGAAGAAGGACGTGGATGAGGAGGAAGTTAGCTGGAGCGACAAGGGTTTTTTATGCACCTCCAAGCACCCGATTTGACTGGGATCGGTGCGTCGTCCCAAAGTTCTTTTGAGGGGGAGAACTTGTCGTTCACCGAATGAAATTGACTGATGTTGTCGTTGGCCGTTGTCGTTGTCGTCGTAGTCGATGGAAACGAAAGCTGAAGTAGAATCTGTGGTTGCTGTTGAAGAAGAAGAGGAAGCAGAATCCGAAAGACTTTTCATTCTTCTGAGGACCAATTAGCACACAAACACGAAACACAGCAGAAGTAGAACAGAGCAAGGAAAGAGAGGGAGGCAAAATAGAACACAACGTAGACCTCCAGCAAACCTCTCTTCAGTTGGCCTACTGGTGTGTGGAAGACCACGAGGATGATGATGATGACGGCTGACCACCTCGAGGCTGATCACCACAGAGATCACCACCACCAAAACAGAATCCTTGGATCGCCTTGCCAGCAACACACACACACACAGCACAACACTGAACGAGAACAGGAGAAAAGTATACACAGCAGCACAAAGCAGCAGCAGAAGTGTGTGTTGGTGGTAGTCTGCGGCCGCCGCTCTTACACTGCACAGAGGGAATGAGCTGCTGCTGCTGCAGTTGCTGTTTCTGCCGCTGCTCTCTCGCTCTCTGACTCGCTTGCCTTCGTCCGTCGTCTGAGGGCGCCCCCGCCTGGTCGGCAGCAGCCGCTGACGACATCTGGGATGCTCGTAGTGTAGTAAATTCCCTGCACCTTCAATCGCTTTTGTTTCGAAAAGGGGGAGAGGATGGATGGATGGTTACACATTTCGGTGTGGACAAAAGAATAATGAAATGGTTAGAAGAGGAACGGAGAGGAAATGAGACAGAGGAGGAGAGGTGAAATGGTACAGTGTGTGTGCAGTGTGTTTGTGGTTGTTTGATGACGGTCTTCTTCGGTAACGAAATTTCGAATCAGCAGAATGCCGACCTCCAGGTCTTCTAGGCGGGACTGCCGTCAATGATGTCCAGCTTCTTCGACATGATCTTGCCGTAGCCGCCCCGGTCGGGGTCAAAGTTCTCGCGGTACTCGTCGCGAATCTGCCCGCCGCTCTTGCCGCGCCCATACTGGCGGCCCTCGATGAAGCCGGCGTCCCAGTCGCAGCGGATGATGCGGTTGTCGAGGCGCGTCCCGTTGATCCACTGCATCGCCTGGAGGGCGTCCTCGCGGTCGTGAAATTCCACGAAGCAGAAGCCGCAGGGCGTCCGCCGGAACTTGTCCAGGCCCATGATGACGCGGCGGATCTCGCCGCAGCGGCCGTACAGTGCGTAGATCTGCTCCTCCGTCGTGTAGAAGGAGAGGTTGCCCACGTAGAGGGTAGTGGACTTGCGCAGCTTCTCCTCCTGCTCCTCTCGGCTTCCCTGGAGGAAAATGGTGGAGAAGAAAGAGTCTTCAAAAAAAGTCCATTTAGAACCAAAGAAACTCTTACCGTGTACTTGTTGTCGCGGTAGCTGCCCAGGTTGAGCTCCCTTCGCCGCTTCAGTGCAATACTCATGGTGATGAACGGGATTTTTTCTTTCTATTGATTGATTCCAAAAAGTCCTGGTCTTGCAGACGTCTTCGAAGAGTTTTGAAGAGATTTTTTAGAATCACAACAATCTCCGGCAGCCGAAGTGTCACCAACACAAACACACGCTTTGAGCGCCGCCGATGAATCGTACCAGCGGAGTCGAAATAGCCAAAAGTTTGAACTTTTAGAAAATCAGAAAATCCTAGAATTTATTTAGAAGTTTTTCTATGTACAAGTGGTAAAAGTGATCTACTGATCATCTGAAAGAAGATCATCATCATCCTCAGCAGAGCTCCCTGAAGATGGACGTCTGGTAGTGCGGCGTCCGGTAGAGGTGGCTGAAGATGGTGAACATCTCCTCGGCGGTCAGGTCGCCCAGCGTCTTGAAGTAGGAGATGCCCAGGCCGATGAGCTCCACGGCGCAGCCGGGGAACTGCTTCTCGTAGTAGCGGATGGCGTAGTTGGAGCGCTTCGTAAAGGACTGCTTGACGAAGGTGCTGCAATCAAGGTTCATGAGAAAAATGCAGAAATGAGAAAATTCGAAAAGCAGAAGCAGCACTTACACGTAGTTGATGAGAAAGTCCGCCTCGAGCTGGTGCACGAGCGCCTTTGGCCTGATGTGCAGCAGCACAAAGTCCTCCTTCGTCTTGAGCTTCTGCCGCTCGCTGGTGAGGGCGAAGTAGTCGCCGGGCACCACCGTCACCGTCCGCCCCTCCACCTTGACCTGGCCGACGCCGGGCAGGCCAGGGCTGCTGTCTTCAGTACCACCCTCTAAAGACTCCTGCAACTCCTCGACCTCGGCGTACTCAAAGAGCGAGTTGACGTTGATGGTGAAGGCGGTGTAGTGCTTCAGATTGCGCGTCGGCCGGCTGACCATCGCCTTGTAGGCGGGCAGCGGCACAAACAGGTAGAACTGCGTGGGGCCGGTGCTGAAGAGGCTGTCAAAGTGCGTCAGCGAGTAGACGAGGAAGGAGAGAAACTCTCGCGCGAGGAAGGGCGAGAGGACGGTGAGGAAGGTGATCGAGGGGGAGGAGGGAGAGTTGCTGTCGACGGGAGCTGTGGAGTTCTTTCCGTCGTCGCTGCTGGCGCTGCCGCTGCTGCTGCTTCCATTGCTCCAGTTGGCGTGGAGGGGCACGCCGTCGAAGCAGACCTTGGAGAGGTCGTCTCGCGTCAGGTTCAGCAGTTTGTAGTTGCCGTTGCAGAAGTCTGGGAAATTAGAAGTTCTAGTATGAATTTTGTTAGAAATTCCTTTAAACTCTTACCGAGAATCTGCTTGTCGACAATCTCCAGGTGGTCTTCGCCGAACCGCTTTTGCAGCGCCCGCAACGCGACCAGCCGATTGGCGTTGTGCTCAAAGACGCGTATCCTGTGGTTTTGCAGCTGAAGCAGCAGCTGCTCCGTGAGCACCCCATTTCCCGGCGAGGCCTCGAAGATGAACCTCTTCTGCTGGTTCTCTGGTGATTCAATTTCACTTCCACTTCCACTTCCACCTCCGAGCAGCCGACGTTGATGGTCGCCGATTGCCCTGACCACTCGCTCCGCCAGCGGCTGACTGTTGACGGCGAGCAGAAGGTTGGCGGTCTTGCGATTGTACGACTTGAGCAGCTCCTGTTGAATGTGCTTCGCATCGTAGATGCTGTTTTTGGCGGTGGTGGTAGTGGAGGAAGCCGCCGCCGTCGAGAGTGCCCGCCGAAGTATCATCGAAGATAAAATATCTTCTTCTTTTCGAAATCCAAAAAATCCAAAATGTTTTGAAGATGAACAAAAATCAAAACATGCGGCGACCAGAGGGTGGGTGGAAATAGCCATTGTTTACGTTTGAAGCACGTCTGAACATTTTTTTTTGAAAAGATATCTCGCCAGATCCAGTTTGTACCCAGACTTTGACCTTCTTCTTTTTCTAAAATCACCTCTGAACACCAATGTCCGAACCGGAACACTGTCCTGGCGTCGAGTCGGAGTCGGCGGGAAAGAGCTCCGCCTGCGAGGGCTGCCCCAACCAGGGCGCCTGCTCCTCTGGCTCCCTTCGAGCTGGCGGCGAAGACCTGGACCTCTACGAGATCGCTCGAAAGCTCTCCACCGTGAAGCACATCCTCATTGTGATGTCGGGCAAAGGCGGAGTCGGCAAGAGCACCGTCGCCTCGCAGCTCGCCCGCTACATCGCCCACGCCTCTCCGGAGGCCAATGTGGGCCTCCTCGACGTGGACATCTGCGGCCCCTCCATTCCCAAGGCGATGGGCGTCGAGGCGGAGGAGATCTTCACCTCCGCCTCAGGCTGGTCGCCCATCTTCGTGGAGGACAATCTGGCGGTGATGTCCTGCGGCTTTCTGCTCACCTCGCCCGACGATGCGGTGATCTGGCGTGGCCCGAAGAAGAACGGCATCATCAAGCAGTTCCTGCGGGACGTCGACTGGTCGACCGGGGCCGGAGCGGGGGACCAGGGTCTCGACTACCTCATCATCGACACGCCGCCGGGCACCTCCGATGAGCACATCAGCCTGGTCAGCTACCTGAAGCACGTCACTGGCCTGAGGGGCGCCATTCTGGTCACCACACCGCAGGAGGTGGCCCAGGCGGACGTCCGCAAGCAGGTGGACTTCTGCGGGCGCGTCAAGCTGCCGATCATCGGCGTGGTCGAGAACATGGCCGTCTTCACCTGTCCGAAGTGCCACCAGGACAGCTACATCTTCAAGCGGTCCACTGCTGCTGCTGACAGTGGTAAACTACTCGGCGGTGAGAAGGTCAAACTTCTTGGTCGCATTCCACTGGACCCGCTGATCGGCAAGTCCGTCGACGAGGGCGTGTCGATCTTTGAGTCAGTTGAAGCAGAAGGAGGTGATAAAACCGCAAATCAAACCTCCGCCAAGACGATTGCCGCCTTCAAGGAGGTCTGGGAAAATGTGCAAGCGGTCATCGAGCCAAAGTGATAAAACCGGAGAACTGTTGTGTAAGAATGATTTTGAAAAGGAGGATATGGCCTATTTGTGTATCAGATGTAAAACATGAGGAGGAGGATCAACTCAAGTCACAGGATCAAATTGCCAACAACAAAACAACAAAAACAGTAAAAAAGAGGAGTACAAAACGTTTGATAAATCTTCTGTGTGTAGAAAACAATGCTGGAATGTTCGAAAGTTCACTTTTGTTTGCCTCCCTCCGCGGCATAAAAGTCCGCCAGCACCTTCCAGGCGGCCTCCGCCATGAAGCCGGCGGGCGGCGACTGGCCGGCCCTAGCCAGGGCCCTCATCTTCGTCCCCGAGATGCGCTCAAAGTCAGCTGGGTCGGTCAGGCCATCCCCCTCCCCCTCCTCCTCAAACATCATCCTCCGCTGCTTGACATTGTAGGAGGCCACCCGAAAGGGAATGATCTCAAACTTGGCCAGCCCGGGCGCCATCCGCAGCACCTTCCGCCCGTGGTCGGGGTCGTAGAGGTCGGTGGACTTTCCGCCGGAAATTAGTGAATCAGGGTGCGGTATGCCCGCCGGATCCCGCCCCACAATGTAAAAGTTGGCGCCCGTCACCAGGCGCGCCTTGGCGTGCCACTGCACCTCCCGGGGGCCCGCGTAGGACATCGGCGAGGGGAAGATGGCCATCAGCGTGCTACCTGCCTCAAGGACGCCCGCCTCGAGGACGGCCTGGTGCTGGCGGATGCGGACGGCCAGCGGGACGTCGTCGTCCTTGGTCCAGCCGCCCAGCGGGTGGAGGAGCAGCACCGGCTTCTGGTAGCCCCGCGCCAGCAGCTGCCGCTTCGTGTCGGTCATCAGCAGGGCGTGGCCGTTGTGGATGGGGTTGCGCAGCTGAAAGGCGAAGACGGCGTCCGCCTAGGGGGGGGGGNCTCAAGGACGCCCGCCTCGAGGACGGCCTGGTGCTGGCGGATGCGCACCGCCAGCGGAACGTCGTCGTCCTTGGTCCAGCCGCCCAGCGGGTGAAGGAGCAGCACCGGCTTCTGGTAGCCCCGCGCCAGCAGCTGCCGCTTCGTGTCGGTCATCAGCAGGGCGTGGCCGTTGTGGATGGGGTTGCGCAGCTGAAAGGCGAAGACGGCGTCCGCCTAGGGGGGGGGGAAGGAAAAAAAGGAGTTAAAATTAGAAATGTTTTTAAAAATTTCTTTTTTCCCTACCTGCATCGCCTTCAGCCGCGCCCTGATTTCACTTGGCTTGAGGCGGTACGCGTCCAGGCCGTCCCCCCAGACGACCTTCCGCACCAGCACCCTCAGGTCGCCGCCAATCAGCCAGTCGCCGCTGTCCAGGATCATGCGAATCGAGGGGTGGCCGGGGTTGGTGGTCTTGAAGACCGCCGCCGCCCGCTCCTCCTTCCGGTGCGGGAAGATCTCGTAGTCCTCGAGGAGGGCCACCGCCTGGCCGCCGTAGGTCAGGGTGACGCCCTTCTTCTTCTTCTTTGAGACCACATTATCACCTTCTGGTCCGGCGAGGTCTCCGTTGAGCAGCATCTTCTCATCCTTTTCTTCCTGCTGTTGCTGGTTATTGTTCGCCTCCTCAATCCTCCCCTTGGCCGCCTCATCAATCGCCAGCACAATCGGTATCGTCTGATTGTGGATCTTGTCCTTGATCAGCAGGCCAAAGTTAATGCACTGCAGGTACTCGTCGGCGCGCATAAAACCCTAGCGATTGAAAAGGTTTTAGTAAATTTGTTTCAATAAATAACAAAATCTCTTTACCTTGAGGGGCGTCGCCCAGCCCTCGGAGAGCACCTGCACCCACTGCAGATCGATCGTCTTCAGCTCCAGCGTGGGCAGGCGGGCGGCCCGAGCCAGCGCCCCCGGCAGCTCCGCCTCCGCCACAAAGAGCTCGTGCTCGTCGTTCACCAGGTCGAGGTTGATGATGCCCTGGAAGAGGAAAATAGAAAAAAATAGGTTACAAAAAATCTTCCCAAAAACCCTCCCAAAGCAAACCAAATCTTCCCTACCTTCTTAATGAGCAGGTCAATGACCCGCTGGACGCACTGCTCCACCGTCTCCTCCGCCGTCTTCAGCACCAGATCGGGCGCCTCCGGGCGCTCGTAGGCCTGGTGGATGCCGGTGAAGCCGGCAATCTGCCCCGCCCTTGCCTTCTTGTACAGCCCCTTGATGTCCCGCCGCTCGCACACCTCCAGCGGCGTGTCGACGAAGCACTCGAGGAAGGTGAGGGCGGCCTTCTCGTGAATCGCCCGCGCCCGCGCCCGGTCCTCGGCGAAGGGGCTGATGAAGCTGGCCAGGCTGATGGTGCCGCCGTCGGCGGCCAGGGCGGACACCTCCGCTATGCGGCGAATGTTCTCCTTCCGGTCGGCCTTGCTGAAACCGAGGTCGGAGCAGAGCCCATGGCGGATGTTGTCGCCGTCGAGGACGTAGGCGTTGATCTGGTGGCGCACCAGGTAGTCCTCCACCGCCATCGAGATGGAGGTCTTCCCGGCGCAGGAGAGGCCTGCAAAGGGAAGGGAAGGAAAAAGGAAGTTAGCTTAGAGGTTGTCTGCAGTTTGGCTGATATAATGTCAGTATGTCTGTCTAAAAAGAAAGAAAGGAAACGAGTGGAGGAAGCCGATAAGAGAGAGAGGCGGAAGTGTCTGGCAATTTTTTTAGTTTTTTATCCGGCATTTGCATACAAAAGAAAAGNTATTGTCAGTCAGTCTGTCTAAAAAGAAAGAAAGGAAACGAGTGGAGGAAGCCGATAAGAGAGAGAGAGGCGGAAGTGTCTGGCAATTTTTTTAGTTTTTTATCCGGCATTTGCATACAAAAGAAAAGTCATCGAAAAGAGGCAGAAAAACATTTTGGGGAGCAGCATTGACTGTTTAATTGTTTTCGATGATCGCGTACGATCAAAGGAAGAAAAAGAAGCTCCCCCTTAAAATTACTGACTGATATTTTTAATGATTAGGTGCACTCGTAACGATACCCAAACAAAACAGCAGCAGCGGCTAACAAAAAACAAATAAGGTGCCCCAGTGTCACTGCCGTGCCGTGCCTAATTAGGTAATTTGCATGTCGATAGGTTTTTCTTTCTTTCTTTTTCTTTTTCTTTTTCCTCGACCACAAATATTTGCCTGCTTTTTAGAGGGCAGCTCTTGAGCTACCTCAAATTTTTTCAATTCGAGCACAGGCAGTGGTTATCTACGGTGTTAGCTCAGTGGTGGTAGTAGTGGAAGGACTAATGCAATTCACCCTAATTGTCTCTCTAATTATCAAGATTGGCGGGCACAGTTAGATATAGCCTGCACCAGCATTAGCCCATAGGCCACCGACTCTTTTTCCCGCTCTTTCAGGACAAGAAAAGCACAGAACAAAACGAAAAGAAAAGGGCGTGGGAGCAGCAGCAGCAGCAGCAGCTCGGGCGCACACAGACACACAATGGAAAAGCAAAGAAGACGGGTCGATCAATCAAGGGACTGATCTGAACAGAGAAAAAAAGTTGAGCAGAAAAACTAGGTAGGGCTAGCTCAGACTGACTGACTGGATTGCGTCTGTGGTCATCAGTGCAAGAACAGTTCGATAGTTTAAGAAGAAGAAGAAAAGAAATGAAAAAAAGAAAGAAAAAAGAAAGGGACCAGTCACCGTTGCTGGATGGTACGGTAATGATGACTGGCAGCAACTGAAAAGCAGCACAGCACAGCAAAAGAAAACACTTACCGGTGAACCAGACGGTGCAGCCACGAAACTGGCGGCCATTGCNAAAAGAAAGAAAAAAGAAAGGGACCAGTCACCGTTGCTGGTACGGTAATGATGACTGGCAGCAACTGAAAAGCACAGCACAGTAGAGCACACTTACCGGTGAACCAGACGGTGCAGCCACGAAACTGGCGGCCATTGCCCAGTGACTCGGCGCGTTTCTCCCGAGACACTCGATGACTTTGGTAGAAGACGTTCGGACAGGAAGAGGAGGAGGAGGTGGTGGTGGTGGTGGTAGTAATGGAAGATGGCGATGAGTTAGACATGGATGGAATAGATGGGGATTGGGCTGTATCAGGATCCGGAGAACTAGGTCGCTTGAGCTGAGGAGAGGGGTGAAATTGTTTGAGAAAAAAGTTAGAAAAGCTAGTGTTTGAAGGCTCCAGTTTGCTAGACCTACGCTGTCCATTTCCAAGTCACTACTGCTGCTGCTGCTGCTGCTGCTGCTGTTCTTTACGGTAGTACTCATAGTTTTTAGGTTTTGAGGTGCTTATTATCAACTTTGAAAACTCAAAGTGGCAACCTTTATGTGGTTTATGGTTCTGCTGGTTATGCTTTGCTTTCACTGCCTCAGTGCACTCCTGTATGGTGCTAAATGTTTCTCTGCTGTNTTAGTGTTTGAAGGCTCCAGTTTGCTAGACCTACGCTGTCCATTTCCAAGTCACTACTGCTGCTGCTGCTGCTGCTGCTGTTCTTTACGGTAGTACTCATAGTTTTTAGGTTTTGAGGTGCTTATTATCAACTTTGAAAACTCAAAGTGGCAACCTTTATGTGGTTTATGGTTCTGCTGGTTATGCTTTGCTTTCACTGCCTCAGTGCACTCCTGTATGGTGCTAAATGTTTCTCTGCTGTGACTGTGTCTGTCCCTTCTTTCTCTTTTTGCCTGCACTTTACAGTACATTTATCAGACAAACATTTTAGCCTGCATGACTAACTGACTGACTGGTTTATGCTGCTTCTATGGAGATTCTGGTTCACTGCCTAAACTGTACACCTTCTCACAGAGGTACCATAAATAAACGTGTTGATAAATGTGTGTGTACAACTGCCGTACAGTTGTTCTCTAGCTGCCCTTTGCTGGGGCTACCACAAAGCATTGCAAATGCCGCTGTTTTACCGACTTTGCACGAAACATGTGAAATAGTGGTGGTGGGCAAAGGAGCGTAGAAAACATGGTTTGATTTGCCGAGGTTTCAGCATTTAGAGATAGTTTTAGAGAGATAACGTGGGCACAAAAAGAAGTAGTTTTTTGTACGACAGCTATTGCAATAATTTTTGGGCAGTATCTGAAATGTCAACTGTGCGATAACGGTGCTGTCTAACTGTCTCAGCCTGCCTGCCTAGTTACTCAGACGCACTAAATCTGTCCAAGAGAGGACAAACAAAAAAAGTATGGCGATAAGATATGAGCTCCAGTGGTCAAAAAAGGATAAACCTATCTCTCTTCCTCTCTCAGCGCAATAATCACTAGGTCACTGAATTAGAAATCGAAATACTCTTCATTCAAAAGGTAAACATACCTCGTTGGTTGCCATTCGTTCCGTGTGTGTGTTGTGCTGAATCCTAAGGAAGTAGAAGTAGAAGTTGCTGTTGCTGCTGCGCTCTAGAGCTGACCAGAAAGATGATTTTCAGCCGAGGATGAATAAGCAAAAGAAAAGATGAGAAGAAGGTAGTGGTGGTGATGACGATGATGACGACAAGTTAGGAAAGCGGAAAAACGGTTTGGCGCCTTCAGTGGTGAAGCTTCGCCGCTGCTTTTAAGCGGCACTGACTGAGGAGCGAACTGGAGAGAGAGAGCCAGGCCAGGCGTCAGAATCCTGCCGATCAGAAACAGCTGAGGAGAGATACTGCTGCTTTTGTGTTGGTCGTTTGGTCGTTGGTCGTTGTCGGTTTCTCTCCTCTCGACAAGCCTAGCTGGCGCCTTCCTTCATTTTTGTTTGTTTGTTCCCACTCTGCTCAGGTTCCCACTGGAGTCGGCTGGAGTTTCCCTTCTCTTCCTCTTCTTGTGTTTCTTCTTTTTGTTGGTGGCATTCAGCAGCATTGGACAGCAAAAGCAAACGAGAGTGAGCAAAAGAGAGCCAAGCCACAGCTCAGCAGCTGAACAGACGGCTTTTTTTTGCCTGTACCAGAAAAAGAGTGAGAGAGTGAGAGCTTTGTGGTTAGTTTGCCACGCCCTCCACAGGTGGCGCGTCGGTGCTTTGTTTTGATGCGATTTTTGTTGTTTTTGTTCTGAAGATTTTTTCTTTGTGGTAAAATAGAACTTTGGATCCGGGTTTATCTTCTCCTTCTACTTCCTGGAAGAATCTCTCAATCACTCAACTCTGAAGCCAGTGACACAGAGAATGGAGACAGCCTGTGTCGGCAGTGTACCAGACGTCGGACGTACATCAGCAGCAGCAGCAGGAGCTTCAAGTACGTCAAGGCAAACATCGACAGCAGCATCACCACTCACCACTGCAATGTAAGTGCGCGACCTTCTTATCTTCTTCTTTGTACGATTGNGACGTCGGACGTACATCAGCAGCAGCAGCAGGAGCTTCAAGTACGTCAAGGCAAACATCGACAGCAGCATCACCACTCACCACTGCAATGTAAGTGCGCGACTTTCTTATCTTCTTCTTTGTACGATTGTTGATAACTGAGCTACTGGTTGTGTCTATGCTTGTGCTCTGACTACCAGGCTATTTCATTGTCATTATTATGTGCTGCTGGTTGTGAAAGATAACTTCTTGTTAATCTTTTAGAAGAAGCAGTGACCTTGCGTCGAGGACTAGTCGACCAGTGACTGGAAGTGACGCTGGTGGTTGTCAGGGGCTAGGCAAGGCAAAGAATTTCTGTTCCCGGTTTTTGCACCGATGTTCTGCTGCTGCTCCACTTGAGAGCATCCTCCTAACTCCGGGAGGGATTTGTGATG